ACTTGTTTTTATCCTGTATTTTATTCTGTGAACCGCCCTTAGGTCTTATGATGAAGGGAGGTACAGAAATCTGATAAACAAACAAACAAATAAAATAAAGATTCTTATATGGCTATCAGGGACAGGAACAGCCACTGGTTTTTGTTGCATTGTGCCTAAGGCACAACAAAGGAAGCTGCCTTAAACTAGTATTTGTCCATCTAAGGCTGCATACAGACTATACTTTAAAGCACATTCTATGCTCATTTCCCTCCTCAGTACTGTAATTTGTAAAGGGTTGCTAGGAATGGTAACTTTTAAGAAGCAGAGAAATAATGTGTTTCCAATGTGCTTTAAAGGTGTAGTGTGCATGCCAACTAGGCTACTGTTTGCTCTGGCAAAGGATCTCCAGGGCTTCAGACAGAGGTCTATCCCACCACCTAGTCTGGGAGGGGGGAATTCTAACCCTTACCCTTGGTCCTCCAGATGTTGCTGAACTACAGCTCCCATTATCCCTGGCCACTGGCCATGCTTGCCGGGGCTGATGGGAATTGTAGTTCAGCAACATCTGGAGGACCAAAGTTTCCCCATGCCTGGTTTATGGCTTCAGCTTCCACCCCATATGCCTTATTCTATGCACTACCGGGCCTGCACAGCAGATCCTGGAATCAGATCATTAGTCCCACTGACTTAAGCAATATTACACAGGTTTGTACTCTATTACATAGTATGACTGGTTTGTAGATCAGGCTGGTTGTTAGTTCCCATGGGAACTTCCCATTTTCCACTTGCAAGTTGATTTTGTTTCAATGACTGGGAAAGTTGGCCTTGATTTGACAAAAAAAGAAAAGGGGGAAAACAAGAAAAGGTAAACAAGCAAATAATAGTAGTATCCTTGTTCCAATGTTTATGTTCAACCTCCAGGGCTTAGTAATATTAAGGAGTCCTCATACTTCAATTTTCTTTAATTTTTGTTTACCCGGATTATGTTTTCTAAGGCACTGGGAAAACTCCCACACAGGAAACAGCCCTTAGAAGAGTAAATATCTCTGCTGAGTGTTCCACAAAGACGCTGTTGTATAGTCTCTCTGCGAAGCCAATGATACTAACAACAGTAATAAAAACATTCTTTTTCAGAGAATTGGCGTCCAGTACACCCAGCTATGCATGTACTAAAATATTGTATTTGAACCAATACCTGTGGAAGGATTAAGCTTGCTGGCTAAATACCTGTGTAGAGTGAAGTATAATATCACCAAAGGGGTAGCTATGTGAGTCTGCTGCTGCAAAAACAACACTTCTTGTGGCGAAGAGACTAACAGACTGATTTACAGTATTATAGCAAGAACATTTGTGCAACTTCATCAGATCCATGACACATTATTCTCACTTGGTGATGAAGCCTATCACCCCAGGCCAAGTTGTAGATCAGCAACATCTGAGGTGGCAGTTGGGGTGGGGTAGGATATGAAGAATGGTTCTCGACCCTTGATATATATGTATATGTACTTATTCACATAGGCATTTGATTCCCTGACAATAAAAAATATGTGAAGAGGCTGGGAAGAATACATGGGCCAACCCCATTCTCAGCTGCCAATGCATATATCAAGCATGTTCCCCAATCACTGTATGTTCAGTATCAGTTTGTAGAGAGATGCATGCACATGTATAAGCTTTCCTCCATGAGGATGGAAACCCTGATTGACCAGGATTCCCATTCTCACGGAAGAAGCCCTATGCGTGTTAACACATGGCCACCTTTAGACGGACGCTGAACACAGGTTTTAATTAACCCCTTCATGTGTTTGGTGCCCACAGATATTGGACACCTGAACAGAGCTACATACACCTGGTACAGAGACAGTTCTATCTGTGGAGCAACTGCTCAATTCTGCTTGGAAAGAATCCAAAACTCTGATTAAATCTGAATTAATCAACCAGGAATGCCAACAGGATTTCCTGGGCCCAGTATACTGATAATGGATTGAGCCCCCCACATAGACCCACCCACAATCTATTGGCAAGATCTAGCTTTACCTCAGGAAAGGCTGAACCTAGGGACCTGGCGCAATTTTCATACTTGTTTCTGGTGGTTAAATAAAGTTAACCTAGCCTACCTCACAGGGCTGTTGCAAATATAAAAAGAGGAGGGGGATTTAAGATGCACAATTTTGAGCTCCTGGATGGAAAGGCAGGATACAAATCTACTATATCACAAATCACGTGAAATAAAATAGACATGCACAAAGCCAGAAAAGCAGCTCCACCTTGCTTTTACTGCAATGTTTCGTAGTCAAATTTACTACAAAATACCCCCCCAAGTCTGTCAACTTTGATGAACAAGCAAGCAAGCAAGCAAGCAAGCAAACAAACAAACAAACTAAACCAACTCTGAGTATGTGCACATTTACAACTTTGGCATCAGAAATACCAACTATGAGCCTAGTCTACATCACTGGGCTGTTGTGAAGATGAAAAAAGCGGGAAGGGGAAGGCAACATACACAGCTTTGAGATTTTGTGGAGCGGGGGCAGCAAAATATAATTATACAACAACAGGTGATAAATACTCTAAGAGTGTGCAGTTTCACAACCCTTAGCAAAACACAAACGCACAACATTTTGCTCTCTTTGTTGAATAAAAAAGCATCACTGCTTTAAAGTTGGCTTATGAGGCACTTATGGTAACTTGTTGCAGTAGTAAGGTGCTTTTTAATTTTTTTGGCTGTATTTGCTTATTCATTTTGCATTTTATATTTTTGCTTTACTGTATATTAATAAATAACAGCCTGGTGATGGCAAGCAAATAAGTAGTGAGGGGGGTGGGACATGGAAAATTGGAGCGGGGCGGCGGCGGCGCGGAACAGGTCATTGAAATGTCACCATTTTTTCTCAGTAGGAAGGAAGCACCATTCATTTCAAGGAAGTTACTTCCAAGTAAAGCATACCAAGCAGCACATTTGGGGAGTGAATGAAATAATGTGGACAAGGTGGAAAGTGCTTAAGCAAACATACCGCAAGGCAGACTCTCCTCCATCCAGCATCATGCTAGCAGCAACAAGATTCTATGGTTTCTTCCTGCTTCTCTAAGAGGCCTCCCTTCTGAGGGGTGGTCAGCATTCCTTCCTCTGATTGCTTAGCAACACTGATTAAGCATCCTTAGCAACAGCAGCTTCTCCGTATCTGCCATCTTGGAACTGTGCTTCCATGTTTGGTTTTCTAATTTTCTTTAGAAATGCTCGATTTACCTTCATTTTTTTTTTTTTAAATGAAAGCTCAGAGTCTGGGGGCCCTGCTTGCTTGGGGCCTAGTACATGTGTACCCCATTGGAAACTCTGCGAATAATTCAAAAATGAATTCTGCTTCAGCCGTTTCACTCTGGAGCTCCTATCTGAAGCCTTTTTTTTATTGAAGGACAATGTCTCTGAGATCATCAGCGGAATATCCTGGGAGACTGAAATGTTCTCCCACTGGCTTCTGAATGTGGTCATTATTGTTAGATTTCTGTCCATTTACTGTCTTGCTTGGAGACTGACCGGTTTCTTGCTTGCAGATGGCAGAAGGTCATTACTGGCCTTCGATGGCAAACAGAATATTTCATGATGAGGTAGTTAATGAGTCCCCAGTGTTATCAAGGTCACAGTCTTTAACCTGGAAATAAGCTCTGTGGAACTCAAGAGACCACTTTCTGAGCAGACATGCAGAAGACGGTGCTGCCAAGTCCTGTAACAGTGTTGCCTATGGAGATCTAGGAAAATAATGGTTTCATTTTAGGGCCTAGCCCTTGAGTTCGGCCCTCTCCTAGATAAGCCTTTGTAGCTTTGTGAGAGCCATTTTATAAAAAGAAACTGACTGTGAGGATGGGCCTACTGTCCAAGGTGTTTTCAAAGGCCCTGACTTGCCATTTCTGTCTCTCCTCCTGTTCTCTTTCCTCTTGGTTATTAAAATTTTGTAACAATATCGGGCGGTAGATCAGGAACCTTGGAAAAATCTTCAGTTATTGAAAGCAGACTTAAAACAAACATCCAGGCCTCCTCCAAACTCCTGTGAAGAAGGCCCTCTTCCAGACTGACTTCTGGAATTTTCCTAGAGGCACAGGCTACTAAGCATGTGGCATTAGTGAGGAAGAGAGGCTCAGTCAATATGCCCTTTGTTTGTTTTGCAATGTATTCTCCTGCTCCTAATACAGTGGTACCTCGGGTTAAGTACTTAATTCGTTCCAGAGGTCTGTTTTTAACCTGAAACTGTTCTTAACCTGAAGCACCACTTTAGCTAATGGGGCCTCCTGCTGCTGCCGCGCTGCCGGAGCCCGATTTCTGTTCTCATCCTGAAGCAAAGTTCTTAACCTGAAGCACTATTTCTGGGTTAGCGGAGTCTGTAACCTGAAGCGTATGTAACCTGAAGCGTATGTAACCTGAGGTACCACTGTAACACTGACAGCATGGGTTACATATGTGTGCAAGCTTAGAATAAACCCTAGGTCTCGCCCATCCATTTTGTAGTTTTAAGAAACACACTATGGAATTCCTTCAGGTAGCGATCCCTATTCAAGGGAACGGAGCAAATGTATTTGCATTGAAAAGTTTTTGGCTGTAAAATATAGATCTCGGGATGTGTTCTGAGAGGAACCTTGAAGCATGTAGATCAGTGGTTCCCAACTTTTTTTGGCTATGCCCCACCTAAGCATCTCTAAAATAGTGACATATAATTATTATTCAAAAAGTGAACTCCTATTCACATGGAGGAAGCCTAAAAGGTCTTTGACTTGGTCTAAACAAGCTTCCAAATTGCCCCCCTTAAAAATCAAAATGTCTCCTGTGAGGCATGTGCCCCAAGTTGGGAACAATGGGTGTAGATATATGTGACAGTCAGCAGTGCCAAATTCAACTTTGTGGAAGCCCCATGGCAGTTTAAATCTTGGGGAGTTTTAAATTATCTCCTAATAAGTTTTTGTAATTTTCTTTCAAAATCAAATCAATATTATTTTGATCTGTTGTTGTGGGGCCCCTGAAAGGCCAATAGGCTATTTGATAAATCCAGTTTCTGGAGTGAAGCGGTGTGAAGTCTGTTGCCCAGCTGTGCCACAGAGATGGCGAGTGAATCTGTTTTGGGGACTGGTCTCGCCTCTGATTGTTGCTGTTGGTGGGGAAGTTGTTAAAAACGTTTTAATGGGGTTTTCCACAGGCCTCCTTTCCTGTGGGTCCTGATGATGACAGTGCAATCTGTGTCTCTCAGATAAAGGGAGGGGGAAGGCTTTAGAAACCAGAACTGCGGAAGCGTTATCTTATCAGTCATGTTCACTGTGGATTTCCTACACACTGTGAGGCCCTGAAATATATCCCTGGCAAGGCAACTGAGCTGAAGAGTCAATGGGTCTCCAAAACTGCAATAACTGTGGGTGATAAAGGATCGCCGTCCTGACAAAGAAGCCAAAGGTCGGGGGAAAGCCACAAGACCAGCCACTGCTGAGCCTCTTCGGCTTCTACAGCCCAGCAAACCCCAAAGTTGTTCTGGCAATGGTAAGAGCATCTCAGCCAGAAGCAGCTGGGCAGGGATGCAGGGAGGAAAGGCGAAGGGGATACTACAGGCCTTGCTGCCTCATGGAAGTTATGAGGTGGGTGAGGCCTTTGCTGTTTCTGTGAAGAGGCAATTAAACACAGAGCGGGGGAAAGGCTATGAGAGTTGTGTGCTATTTTTCTAGTGCCCACAGAGAATGAGAACTAGTGTGGTATTGCAGAGAACTATAGATAAAGAACCCCCTTTGTCTGAGGTGGAGTGAATACTGGCCAGAGGGGGTGAAGGCCTTGACCTGCTACCATGTCTGTCACCCACAGGGTGAAATCTTCCTCAGTATCTAGTTAGGTTATTTGGTTTATACTTTACTTTGCCCTGGAAAAGGTGACGAAGCATCCATTTGATTAGAGCAGGGGTAGGCAACCTAAGGTCTGTGGGCCGGATGCAGACCAATCGCCTTCTCAATCCAGCCCACTGACAGTCTGGGAATCAGCATGTTTTTACATGAATAGAATGTGCTCTTTTATTTAAAATGCATCTCTGGGTTATTTGTGGGGCCTGCCTGGTGTTTTTACATGAGTAGAATATGTGCTTTTATTTAAAATGCATCTCTGGGTTATTTGTGGGGCATAAGAATTTGTTCATTCCCCCCCCCCCCAAAAAAAATATTCCGGCCCACCACATGGTCTGAGGGACAGTGGACCGGCCCACGACTGAAAAAGGTTGCTGACCCCTGGATTAGAGTATGGTGACTGTATATTATAATGAGATATTCTGACAGGGTCTACCCTGCAGTTATTAAAGTAGTGAATGTATAGACCAAGAAAATTTGATCTGAACCACAACATTCAAGCTCTCAGACAGCTACCATTCAACACAATTCATGTCCTTGTTTAATACTGTAGCTGTCCATGGAGTATGTAGAAATGACAAAACTTACTGGAAAAACAAGAAATCAAGACAACAAACTTTTTAGAAAGGAATGGAAATGGTTTATGGAGCATTTAGAAACAAACTGTAAACAGATCAAGACATTGGCAGGATTATTGTAAAAGCCTGCAATATATATATATATATATATATGGAAAGGACGAAAATAAATGTACGGAACCGCAGAAAGAGGGGGAAGGGAGTCAAAGTTGAAAATGTTAAAATTATGGTTAAATAATTGTTGTAATGTAGATAAATGAAATAATAATAATAATAATAATAATAATGATGATGATGATGATGATGATGTAACTGCCATCTCCAGTGTATAACTATAAAAATATGTAATGGTTTTAACAAAAGCAATGGACTTTGTGTGGATTGAAAATAATACGTAGGAAACTGGTATAGCTTGCAGGCTAAGAGTGGTTTAAGAAGTTCCAGGTTTCTGTACAAACTTATTCAGAAGAAGGAAACCCTTGAGTTCAGTGGGGCTTTGTCCCATGTGGGTAATTATGGGATTGCAACCTTTTTAGTCAAACCATTACCTCTCGGATTCTCCCTCTATCTATAATATAGCCGATCTTACAAGGCATTCGTTTGTTAATGTTTGTGAAGTGGCTGGAACATCTGAAGCACACTACTGTATCTAAAATCTGGAAATAAATTCAGTCCATTCTGAAACAGCAAAGTTGTCACCATTTATTGAATTCTGTATCTTCAGTGCTGTCAGAGAAATGTAATGCTTTCCAGTTGCATCTATAGTAACAATTGAGACAGCAAAAATTCTCATGCTGGTCATATATAATTGAGGGTGCTTGGTGACACATAAAGTTCAATCCTGATGTGGCACTCCCAGCCACCCTTAAAAAAAATCTGTCTGCTTTGGAGCAGGGCAAACAAAATGGACACCCATAATACAAAATGGACACCCATAGTCTAGTCAAGCAGCAGCAAAAATCCAATAGCTCTGTTTTTACTTTTAAAATATAATGTAATCATTTATATTAATTTAAGTAACTATGTAAGTATAGTTCTATAGAACGTATGCTGACTTGTGGATCAGTGGTTATGGAAGTGATAGCAGTGATAGCAGTGATCCACTTCACCCTTTCAGTACTCAACCCTTTCGCATAGCTTCACACATTGCATTTGGGTTACACATAGGCATCTGGTTGGCTACCATGAGAACAGGATGCTGGACTAGATAGGCCAACAGGATCTTGTTACATCCTTATTGAGATGACCTGCTGTGCTTGCTCATGGCTCAAATCCTTCTTCAGAAAAAAATGGAGGTGCGTAACATCAGTCCCTGTGTTTGGCTGGCAGTATGAAGCCTTTGCATTGGCCAACATACTGAAATCTTTGCCTTCTGTCCAGGGCCAACCCATGACATTTTGCTGCCTGAGACAAAGTACAAGATGGCGTTCTCCCCTCCCACAGCTCTACCAATGTACAGAAACTGACTGGACTGGCAGCTGAATTTGGTGATGGGATAGTGCCCATCCATGCACCTGAGAGCAGCAGTCTGGTGTAGGAGGTAAACAACAAGCACTGAAATAATCTTTCTTTCAATGTAGTGGAACAGCCAGGCACCTATACAGCTCTTGCTGTACAGCAAAGTTAGCCATGGTGGTATCCTCCAGATGCTGCTGGACTCCAACTCCCATCAGTCCCAGCCAGCATGTCCAATGATCATTGATAATGGTTGTAGTCCAGCAAAATATGGAGGGCATCATGTTGGCTTTTCCTGCCCTAGAGCTTCTGCTGTATGTCTAATGGTAAGGCTGCTCCTGCTTTTCTCTTTGCTTTGTTAATTAAATAGTACACCCCCACCTTAAGCCATTTGACTTGGGAGATCCTGTGCTAAAGAACATCCCCTCTGTTAAAGTCATATGTTTAATATGCATAGAATATTATGCTTGTACGCATTGAAGTTAAAATGCTATGCAGAGAGGTTTGCATTAGGCAAGCGAGGTTTGTCTTTAGTAAATGTGGCAATAAAAGGCTTGATGTTTCTGTTTCAGTCTTTAGGCTAATCAATGATTGCAGGGGAAACCCAAGGGATCTCTCACAGCAGGAAGGTGAAACTTGAGAACTTAGCGTTTTAGTTAGTCCTTACAGCCAGCGGCAGTAGAAGCTCAGCTCAGTGATCCTGAGCAATCAAGATGCTTGGATAGGATCTCTCTCTCTCTTAGACTAGAGAGAGGAGAGTTTTTGGACTGTAATAAGGACTAAAAAGAAGACTGGGCCACATTGCTAGTTTGTTAAATTGCAATGTATTACTTTGTATTTTTGCAATGTTTTATTTTGTAACTAGCCTAAGACAGTTTTGCAGTAAAACTTTTGAAACTCGTTCATTTCTACACTGCATAAGGTACAGAGCAGTCATTCCACTTGTAACAACTTTTAACGCCCTTTAAAATAGATTCAGTTATGGTTGCCCTCAATCCCGGCATTACCTGGAGTGCAAGATTGCAGTTTTGAGGTGGATGGATGGGGAAAACACACTCTGGGTTTTTATGGAGCAAACGTCACTCCCCCCATTTTCATTATACGGCACAAATATTTAATAAGGTATTTGCTCTGATTAAACTTATAAGGCAGAGCACAGCACATTGGTTTCTGATTCCCTTTCCTAATTGTTATTCAAGAGTGTATGGACATATGTCTTGGCTGACCCTTCTTGATTCTGCCTGTAGGCATCCCAGATCGCTGTGTTTCTACATTCTCCAGGGTCATTTCTTTCACTTCTTTGGAACATCATTTCTGGAGCAGATTGGGGAATAGAGATCTATTAAGTTTCTAGCAGTTCTTTCACCTGGTTGGAACAGCCTGCTTGGCTACACACTAAAGGATAAAAAGCCTGATGGCCATAAGGTCAAACTTTCAGAGAGAATAAAGCAGGCTTGTGGTATAAGCTGAATATTAATGTCTAGACTGCTGCCTATATTGCAAGCAGAATGCTACAGATACTTAACTAACAGGGGCTGCTTGAAGTCCCACTGCTGAAATTACCCTTGAAAAATGGCAAGGAATATCAGAGTTAAAGGATTCATTTGCATTCCTTGCCCTACTGTTTTGTTCTTAACATCATTGCTTTTTTGTTTTATACTTAATATTGAATTATTATTGCTGTTTATTTTTATATCGTCTTTTTTGCTCCAAGGAGCCCCAAGTATACCTCCAAACAGGTTTTTAAAAAACCTTGCTGAGAATTTCCCTTCCACAACCATACCATCATCTGAAATGGTACTTCTGAGCACAAGCTCTGTGCAGAAGGACCTTCCTTTTCTCTAACTGTGTGACTTTTAAATGGACCAAAACACAGTTTTCTAGGAAACACCTTTATGCTACAGATAATCACCATAACACAACATTTTTCAGAGAGGTAGCTGTGTTAATCTGATGCACCAAAAACAAAGAAGAATCTTGTGGTACCAATGTAGACTAACCAATTTTATTACAACATAAGGTTTTGTGGACTAGAGCTCACTTCATTGTATGCCTTTTATTTCAGAACCACCACAGTTCCACAGATGTTGGTGAAAGATGTCATCAATCCCCAGAGCCCTTGTTTTTCTAAAAAAAAAAGATAATAGTAATCTCTCATCCTCTGTAACACAAGAGGTTTAAGGGAAGTGTGAGGACCATAGCAGGAGGCTGCTGTCTCATATTTCTTACCTGTTGCAATACATTTGTTTTTTTCACCAGATTGTGTACCAGCAGACATGAAAATCGATAAGGCTACCATCTGGTGTGCAAGGCAATGTAAAACATGCTTACCTGACGAACTTTGACCACCTGCACCCACTAGAAAATATTTCTATTCATTAGTGTTTAATATTTTTCGGTTCTTCACAAATATAGATCAGCGACACTGATGTTTGCAAATCTACAGCAGTCTTTTTAAAGTTTCAGTTCACTTATAGAGCATTTTGTTCTGGTGCTTGCAGAAGTGGGGAACATACTAATGGGTTGTTGTGTGTGAATGAAGAAAACATGGTACAAAATTGACCTGAAATTCGAGAAAGAACAAACAGGATATTTTTGGTTTGGTCTTTTTATTTATACACATAGTATAATCTGAGTGAGATTTGAAAACGTGTATGCTAGAGTAAGTATATATTTTTTCCTTTGGCAGATTCATAATGCTACTTTAGTATCCCGCAGAGGGATTTGACTAGCTTGATTAGTTTTTAATTTTTTAAAGCTGAGTAAGAGATTGGAATACTTCAGAGATGCCATGTGGCTTTGTAAAAATCCTACTAAAATTTGAAATGCATGAACCGAGACAGCAGAACATCACACCCTGTTAGTGTAATATTTCTGTTGTAAAGAATATAATTTTGATTTAATTGTAACTCGTGGAACTCCTGGAGCATTGTGAAGGGGGCAGTCATTTGTGAGTTGAATTGCAAGTCTGCATTGCAGACAATAGTGCAAAAAAAAAAACAACAACCCAAAATCAGGTCTAGGAGTATATAGCAGACATTCTCTGTGGTGCTATTAAGAGTATATGTGCAATTAGCAATGCACCTATGAAAAGAGATGCATAGCTAGGGGCTAGGGAGGCCAATCAATGCCAGTTGATTGGTGCCTCACCTACTCCTCTTTAATGTCACTTTCGAACCTACTCTTCCTTGATAGGGAAGGGGTGGAGGCAGTCCAGTGTATGCCTTAACATCTTTGACTCAGGACAAGTGAACTACATTGGAGGTCTGTTTTCCCCTGTAGTACAATGGAGGTCAGGAAGGAGTCAGGTCATGACCCAGTTTAAAGAGCATCTGTGGCTGAGTGGACAGAGACAAGAGTGCTCCAATGTGAACTTGAGACTGTTTAGACAAGAGTCAGCTATGGTTGGAATAGGAAAATGAAAGAAGGACGCCTTAGTTCCATCCCTATATTTCAGAGCCGTAACCTTTTGCTAGAGTGCCAGTTCTCTAAAACGGCGAGAATACTAATTTAGACAAGTAGCTATATACGCCTGTAAGAACATAAAACTCAAGTGGCACCACAGAGGGAAGCAGGTTTATTTGGTTTGAACTGGAAATGGCAACATCCTGCAATACAAGATGCTTGGCGTTGACTGTGATTTGAAAGGGTATGTTCCCCGAGGTGCACTAGACAGGGGATAAGCACAAGTTCAGATACATTTGCTGGAGCGTTATTATTAACAAGAGCTTATAATTAATTAAATAATATTACACAATTAATGTGATTTTTACTAATTAATCAAGCTATAAATTGAGCCATGGGCCTACGCAGCTAAGAAGAGGGGGATCTAACAATGTAACTGATTAATTATAATTGATTAATCAACCACAGTTGTACAGTGGTACCTCAGGTTACAGACGCTTCAGGTTGCAGACTCTGCTAACCCAGAAATAGTACCTTGGGTTAAGAACTTTGCTTCAGGATGAGAACAGAAATCGGGTGGTGGCGGCGTGGCAGCAGTGGGAGGCCCCATTAGCTAAAGTGGTACCTCAGGTTAAGAACAGTTTCAGCTTAAGAACGGACCTCCAGAACGAATTAAGTTCTTAACCTGAGGTACCACTGTGGTTGATTAATCTGCCAGTCAAAAGCTGTAACCCTTATGTTTGCAATTACTGAAGCACTAGGTAAAATACAAAAAATGGCAAGCACTTACAAGCAATGACAGGAAGGGCAGACAGACATCTTTTATGCCAACAGTTGAATGAAGAAGACTCCTTTTGTGCATTTATGATTCTAGGATGGTTTGTGCTTGTAGGTTTCACAGAAGTGGGGAAATGGTTCCTATGGTTATGCAAGTCTTAGGACAATAAGAAGAGCAGTGGCATTTAAGACTCAGAGAAGACAGGGCACTGTAGCTATATGAGATCAGAAAGTTATACCAAATCAGACCATTGGTCCATCCAGCCCAATGCTCTTATCATTAACTGGCAGTGGCTGCCCAGGGTTCTGATAGAAGTCTTTCCCAACCTTACTTGGATAAATTGGGGATTGGTTTGTGGCCCATATAACATTTCCTTAATGCTCCACCTGACAGAATACAGATGGAGCATCTTTGAGGAAACTGCAGATGTTAATTGCTATTCATGGGTGTAGTCAGGATTCATTTTAGGGGGGGCAAGCTTTATGTTGGGGGGGCAGAACCAATATATCTGTGATACAATTGGTCAGTTAGTTAAGTATTTATATTTATTTACTTGATTTAGGGAGGGCATGTGCCCCTCAGCTACGCCCATGTTGCTATTGGCTTAAAAGTCCCATATTATTTAGAGTAGGTAAATGTCAGAAGGAATCATAGGAAAATGTGTTTCATACGGGTTGAAATTAAAGGGATTGGGGGAGAATATGTATGTATGGTGTTTCTGTCCTGCCATGTTGTATTTTTATTCTTACTTTTGTCATTGGGTATTACTGTTGTGTCCAACTTTCAAAGTGGATTGAACAGGCTAACCTTTTCAGTTGCTTGTCCCCAGGCAAAACTTTGAGGCCTATGAGATGTGGATGCTCAACAAATAACTTCATTTTGCAGGGCTAGATGTAGCTATCTGTGTGGTAGTTGTTTACATTTAACCACCAGGAGGAATACGCACAGAGACATGGTTAAGCTTGGCATTATAATAGCGACCATGGTCACTACTAATCAGTAAAACCCTTATAGCCAGAATTTCAAGCCAATGTATGAAGTGCGTATACAAACCCTGGGAAGATGGGAATTTGAATAGTATTAACTATGCTTAGCACCGATGCACTTGTGATGGGCGGGGGGACGGTCTTACAAGAGAATTTTCATTGAGGGAAAGAGGGAAGGGGAGGTAGCGAATGATTCTGAGTTTGACTTGGAACCAGCATTAAAGTCTACACCGGACTAATGTGCCTGCAAATTTGGTGTTAAAAGTATAGGCACCTATGGAGAATTTAGCTTTTATTGGTATGCTTTCATCATCAGGCTTCTTAGTATGCCTGCATCATAATTCTGCCACCTATAACAGGTACCTTTCCTTTCATTCATCTCACACAGTGTTTCAGTCTGGTCCCTAAGGTACTGGGTTTGAGACATGTTTTATTAACATTCTAGAGTTGTTCTCTCCTGACTAACCGACCATTAGCTGGCTCACTGATCCTTAACTGCAGATCACTCTCTTATTTAGGCTACATTTCCCTTAGGTTCCAAAATAATTAGTCTCACGGCTATGGATGGGATTTCCTGTCAAGTGATGTGAATATAGATGGAGTACCTCATTCAATGGCGGTAAGCAACTTTATTCATGTTGTATATTCCTTTTATTTTTAGAATTGCAGACTCCCATAATTCCGATTCAACTTTCATACTTAAAAAACACAAAACAAACCAACGCCCAAAGCAGAGAAGTGGGTTTAGATTTGCCTCCCAGCACAATTTCTGGTAAAGTAAAGCAATAATTACATATAGCTAAATGCTTTGAGGAATACTTTCAAAATTAACTGGAATTTGTCTATTGAATATTGCAAAGACAGTTTAAGCTGTTAAAATATTAAATGTTTTTATTGTTTTGAATTTGAAAATGTGTCATTCTATAAGGCTTTATTATGAAAACCAGGCTATGAAAATATGTTTTAGAAGCATAAAAACAGTAATAATGATATCAGATGCTATATCATCCATAATTGTTCACATATTTATTCTCTCTCCCTCCTTCGCACACCCTTTTCCCAGCAAGCAAATACAGTGCTGGCCATTGAATCAGGAACTGGTCAACTTTACATTTCCTTGCTTTTTTTGGTTTTTAGTTATTCCTAACCTACAGCCTTGATACAGTAGTCATAAGAATCAATATAATTTATTTGTGGTTTTGATACAATTGGCACATAAGTATACTATGGTTACACTTTGAGGTGTACTCTTTGCACTCTCCAGTACCCTTTCCATAATTCTTATTTCCTTCCTACTTTTTTGCCCTTACCACTTTCATTACTTCTCACTACCAGGAAACCTTCTTTCATGCTGTCCTCTGCAAACGTCTGCTGACCAGCTATACAATCCCTGTTCACTGCAGAGGATTCTGGGGCAGCTTGGCCTGTTGACTCTAGTTACAACTCTCTGCAATCTATTTTCTACTTCATACTTACATGGCAAAAGCAATTGCTGTGGGTCGGTCATTCCTTGATGCATCTTCCCAAGATACAGGTATGTCATCCAAAACACGTCTTCCATAGGAAGTGATGTTGATGTCTATTCGCTGCTTAGAGTGTGGAGCCAACCCTGGGAATGTCTCTGCCTCTACCCAGTGCTTCCCATGAGGGCTCCATGTTATCTATCTATCTATCTATCTATCTATCTATCTATCTATCAATCATTACATTTATGTCACCCTTTCCTCCCAGGTGGTTCTCCTTGATCCATAACATCCCTGTGAGGTAGGTTACTGAGAGACAATGACTGGCTCAGGGTCACACTGTGAATGTCATGTCTGAGTGGGGATTTGAACCCTGCTCTTTCAGGCCCTTCTTTGGCACTCTAATGCTGCGCTGGTTCTTATGCTGTAAGATAAGAGCAAGAATACTTGCTTTATCACAGCTCTTACTTCACTTCTATCTTAATGGTTCCTCTACCTCCATGCAAATCTGTAGGAAGTGGGTTTGTACTAGGTTTCCTGGCCAGCTTTACAGATCCCAGTTGGAGCCCCTAACAGTGTATTGGAAGGCAACTTCACCATTTCCATCTACAGTGGGCCGCTTACTAGTTCTTCTTTCTTCCTTTACACATCCCTACTTGGAAAAGCTTTCTCTGCCATTTTTCTCCTTTTTGGTGAGTTTCCAGTTGGCTGCATAGAATGTCTGTTTAGCAATTGCAAATGTATTTTTCTGACAAAAAGATTGGTTTCAAATTAACCCTTTCATTATACATGGCAGTTAAGTTCTACTGGCAGTAACACTGCCCACAACATTTCTACTTCTCTGTCGCTCTGATAGTCTAGATCAGGGTTTCCCAAACTTGGCTCTCCATCTGTTTTTGGACTCCACATGCAGCTGCAGGATGACCTTGGGCTAGTCATACTTCTCTCTGAGCCTCACTCACCTCACAGAGTGTTTGTTGTGGAGGAGGAAGGGAAAGGAGATTGTTAGCCGCTTTGAGACTGTTTAGGGTAGTGATAAAGCAGGATATCAAATCCAAACTCCTCCTCCTCTTCTTCTTCTTCTTCGTCTTCTTCTTCTTCTTCTTCTACAACTCCCAACACCCCTAGCTAGCAGGACCAGTGGTCAGGGGTGATGTGCGGGGGAGCTGTAGTCAAAAAACAGATGGAGACCCAAGTTTGGCAAACCCTGGTCTGGATGCTGCAACTGGCATGGGCAACAGAAGCTTTTGGTACTGACTCTGATTAAGGTGGGATGCAGGTGCCCCTATGGGTTAAACCACAGAGCCTAGGATTTGCCGATCAGAAGGTTGGTGGTTCGAATCCCCGCGATGGGGTGAGCTCCCGTTGTTTGGTCCCAGCTCCTGCCAACCTAGCAGTTCAAAAGCACGTCAAAGTGCAAGTAGTTAAATAGGTACCGCTCCGGCAGGAAGGTAAACGGCGTTTCCGTGCGCTGCTCTGGTTCGCCAGAAGCAGCTTAGTCATGCTGGCCACATGACCCAGAAGCTGTACGCCGGCTCCCTCGGCCAATAAAGCAAGAGGAGCGCTGCAACCCCAGAGTTGGCCACAACTGGACCTAATGGTCAGGGGTTCCTTTACCTTTACCTGATTAAGGTGAATAGCCAATAAGCTGGGTCTACGCTCTTGCCTGCTTCTCCAGTTCTGCACTTTGGACCACTCTGTCTCAGTTAACTAGACTTCAAACCATTCCCCCAAGGCATGGTTGCCTGCCTATGTATGGCCATGTGCACTGGAGCAAGCAGCTCTTTGCCACCCTTTGAATTTAAATAGTGGCACACTTCCCAAAAAGGCTGGCCACCACTGATCTAAAAAGTGTTCAAACATGGCATTTGCAGGATCCAAAACAAATGCGCCACCTCACTTCTACCACTTAGTAGCATTGTTACTGAACGACACACGCCTTTTCAGCTTCCACCCCTCCCAGATTTTCTTCGGTATGATTGCTTATTTCCTAACATTTTATTTTCAGTTCTTCTTTGATATATAGTACTACAGTCTCTTTAGTTCATCCTACTCCATCTTTTTTGAAGGTTTTTGTATGCAGACCTGACAGTATCCTATTGATTTCCATTGTTCCAGCAGGTGTCTGATATGTTTATATCTACATTCTCTTTTAATACTAGGCATTCTAATCCACCCTTCTTGGCTCTAGGCTGCTAGCATTTGCATATAAACACTGTATATCCTGTCACCCTTTGAATGTCCTTTTTGTGTGTGTCTTTCATCTGACACTTTAATTGCTTATATTGCTTTTCACTGGTTTTATGTGTATGTTGTCAGATTCTAGCAAATTCTTGTTTTGAGTGCCTGAGATTTAAAAAAAATGGGATTGAAGCAGCCTAACTATGCTCAGGATTGCAGCCTTTGTGTTTATGTCATCTTCTGTAATGAACGAATCATCCCAAAGTGGAAGCTCCGTTGCACCAATCAACTTTCCCCCAAATATTTGTTTAAAACACATTTTGCAAGCTTTGGAATATGATGCACATGTAGCTGGGAGCAACTCCTATTGAACTCAGTCAGGCGTGCACAGGATCAACCTGTTAGTGACTCTATGTGGTGAAGTGGTTATACTAGGACCTGTGAGACTAGGGTTTAAATCCCCACTCAGCCACACATTTGGGTCCATATATTTACAGTGGTACCTCTAGTTACGTACTTAATTTGTTCCGGAGGTCCGTTCTTAACCTGAAACTGTTCTTAACCTGAAGCACCACTTTAGCTAATGGGGCCTCCCGCTGCTGCTGTGCCGCCAGAGCACGATTTCTGTTCTCATCCTGAAGCAAAGTTCTTAACCCGAGGTACTATTTCTGGGTTAGCAGAGTCTGTAACCTGCAGCGTATGTAACCCGAGATACCACTGCAATTCCCCACATACTATTGACACCTGAAATAAGTTAGAAAAAGAGAGCACAGACACAATGCATAGAGTGCAGCTAAGTTTATCATGGAGTTTGAGCCTCATTCAGTTGCAAGCAAACAAGTATAGAATAACCGAGCTAAATACATGCATGTGTGAACTTGCTCTGGGTTAAAAAAAGAAGAAGAGACCCTTGAAATCCCAACACTTGGCTGTTTTTTGGTGGGACTGGGAATGTTTTCAAGTGCATTTTGATGAAGTTATTGATATTTTTATGTCCACGATTGTTATTTGGTGGGTGTGTTTGGAGCCTGTTGAAAACGTGTTTCATTAGTGCTTTTGGGTAGTTTTAGGCTGCAATCGAAGGATTTGGCTGGATGTTTTGTGGAGCAGCGTAGTCACCACATGTCTAGAAGCATATTAGATGAAAGAAAACTGCTCTCTTGTCTCTGTCCCTTTCAGGGTACATTTGCCCAGCCTAACCACCCTGTTTCTTTTTCTTGGTGTAGAGGGGGAATATGTAGCAAAAAGAGTCTTTTCATCTCTCTAGGTGGGTAGGTGAGGGGAAGCCGAAACCATTTTCATATTTACTTTTTATTAAACTGCATCCACCTTGATAATTTGTTATAAATATGCCAGTTTCAAATATGTGCTTTGATCTGGTTCCTTGGCAATTAAATTGCTTTCCTTTTAAATTTCCCTCATTTAAAATAATGCTTATTAAAAACAATTTTGCCCTTAAACTTCAAATATTGATTTAAAAATTATCTAGCGAGAGGAAAATAATTTACAATTCTGAACATATTTGCTTAAATACAGCCTGGTTATTCCAGGAAATTGATTTTCTTGCCTTTCAAATTAACTGACAGTTTAATGCAGCACTTATTTATTTATTTAGTTTAGAATCCAACATGAATAGGTTTAACTTAACATATAGGCTCATTAAATTAATCTGGCCATGCCCAGACATTTATAATTGTGGGATTTGGCTATACTGGTTCACTTCATCTTATTCTTACAGTTAAGGCAGGCATCCCCAAACTCAGCCCTCCAGCTGTTTTGGGACTACAGTTCCCATCATCCCTGACCACTGGTCCTGTTAGCTAGGGATGATGGGAGTTGTAGTCCCAAAACAGCTGGAGGGCTGAGTTTGGGGATGCCTGAGTTAAGGCATACTTGGCAGTTTAGGCTGTACTGGCCTTTGATGGACCATTAGGCTGAGAAGGAATTCTATCATCTATCTATCTATCTATCTATCT